GGGGGGGGGGGTTCCAGAGTGTTGCCAGAGCTGGTTAAAATGGATATCTTAGTAGAGAGGATATGGATATCTGCGAGTCCGGTATTATTTTTTGGGCGGAAGATTCTGTTAACTTTTGGCATGAATTTGGACGAGTCCTTGTGGTTGATTTTTTTTAAGGTCTTACTCCAATGGTGGGTAATTTGTTGTTCCGCAAATTGATGATATTGAACCGGGAGTCGATGATGCAGTGGTCCAGGTAGGTTTCGACTGGGTTATATGTAGATGTGCTAGCGGGAAGGAGTTTGCAGTTGTAAAAGGGTGCATTTGTGACCTACCAATCGATTAATGCAGGTCCGTGGACCTCGTTCGAGTGGTTTCCTCGTAAGGTATGCCTCATATTGAAATCGCCCGCTATGATGAAGTAGTTTTCGGAATGGTCCAGCCTGAGCTCGGAGGATATCTAGCTGAACTCGTTCATGAAGTTCTGTTTGATACGGGAAGGCTGTGAGGCATATAGGCATATGATGTATAAGTATTTGTCTTCAGCAATCTTGAGTTTGATGATGGTGTACTGGATGATCGTGCTGCTGGCAGATCTAGGGTATGCTACTAGTGTGTGCGATATGCTGTTTCGGAGCAGTATTGCAGTACCTCCACCTTGCACTGCATTAGGCCTGTCCGTGCGGTAGAGGGTGTATTCAGAGAATATTCTTTTGTGTCTGGAGTTCAGCTTGGTCTCGGAGATGAAGACTGCATCAAGGTGGTGTTTCTTTGAGAAGTTGAAGAGGAAGTTTCTCCTCTGGTGGGATAGTATGGAGTTGACGTTTATTGCGGCTATTTGCAGGCGTGGCTGCTGTAGTCGTTCCATAGATAGGGAGGGGGGGGGAGGGGGGGTAAGGGATGGATTGTGCAGTTGAGGTTGGATGATCTGAAGGTTCTGCTTCAGCAGGGAGAGAGCGCTCTTGTAGTAAAGGCATGCTCTGTAGGATGCCGGATATCCGTTCCGACCGCAGTTGGCGCACCTTAGCTTCTGCCTATTGGAGTTGTTGGCAATGAGGCATTTTTCTGACTCATGCGTCTCACTACATTTTACGCACCTGCATGTAAGGTTACAATTTGAGCTGGCGTGTCGGGGGCTCGATTGCTGTTGGGGGAATGGATGATGATTAATAAGCGTTATGGGGGTGTTGGATAAAACTATGGCGAGTTGAAATTATTGCCAGTCACACTTAAAAATAGGGGTAGGGTTTGCGGGCAACCATGCGGTACCGCTGCGTGAACGAGACTGCATCGGGTGCTCTCCCAATTGACCTATTTGGCTCCTAGCCATTTCTTCATTTCACTTTTCGTGTATATATCGGACACCGCCGTCCTTCATACGGCAATCATTTTTTCTACAAGGTAGACGGGAAGTTTTTTATAGCGTGATTCCTCAGATGATATTTGCAGCAATGCAATAAAATTAAATAATTGTCCATTACTGAGGTGGAACGATAACTATACCCAATAATATGAAGCAAACAATTCGTGGATGAATAGTGGTGTAAGTCTTATACCACTATTTGTTCACGCATTATTACACGATTTAATTATTATATTATGACCAATGGTTGTAATAGTCCTTGCAGAGGAAATGAATAATAATTAAGAATCGTGAAATACAAGAGGAAGGATTCTGAGAAGAAAAGAGCAAAGGACAGAACTGACATAGGCCCTAATAAATTACAAATACGCCCGAGATTTTCGAGGAATGATAATGCTCAATGGAAAAATCGGGTTTTCTGATGCACTATCATTCCTATTTTATTCCTTCCCATTACTCATGATGGAAGATGTCTACCACTTTCCCGCGGTTTCGATTGAGCAACATTCCATAATGTTAGCCAAGAGTAGACAGTTAACTAAAAAATATGTCTATTTTTAGATATATAATTCGATCATTTGATCGAAATGACAAGCCATAAGGCATGGTCCACCAGGTAATTAATGGGAACATTTATTTCCTCATTGCGAATGCGATATGAAAATCTGCAATGGTATTTTTAGGAATATATTCAAAATATCACCTTGGCAAATTTTTATCTTCCACATTTATAGTTGCATGATTTGGTAGAAAAATCATATTTACCGAAAACGAATATCGAAATATGTTCTTGAGGGTTTCTCATCGTAAATTTCAATTTTTCAACCGCTCGACGTGGCTGGCGGGAATATCGTCACTACTAGGATTTCTTCGCACACAATGGTTCGCTTATTGGGTACCCATTAGGATGAGACTATTATTACGACTCTTCTAATAGCCTGGCTCCCGAATACCTGAAAGTAGTCGAGCCCACTGTTAGAGTGTCAACGAAAATTAATGTTATCGGTCGGGCTTCTAAACGAGAAGTATCGTTAATGGCGGAACGATAATGCTCAACAGGTGACGGAACTGGTCAATACTCTAATTGACTCATCACCTACGGGAAAAGTTTCCGATTGCTTATCAAACAACGTCGCTAATCAAATTCACAACTTCATTTTTGATAGGAGCCCAACTAATACTTAATTGCTAAAATTCATTATTGGTACTCCTAAAATCATTATAAATAATTCATAGATTATTAAAAATCTCTGTGAATATCTCATTGATTAGTAAGCTCAATAATTAGAAACAAAAAATCCGCGTAGTTGTTAACGTGGAGCAAAATATTTTCGAAGTCCAGACGCTAGCGTGAGTTTCCCCGGGAAGTTCCAAAATCTAGCCGCAACTCCAAACTTTCTCGCAAATTTTTCTGCGTCTTCCAAGAAGACAAGCACGTGAAAGGAAAAAAAAATTCCAAAAGAGAAAACCAAAATAACCGAAAATAATGATGATATTTAAAAAAAATGAGACCGACAGGCTCTTGCCTCGCCAATGGTGTACTTTTCGCCTGGATGTCTTAAAACCGCTGAACGGTCGAAAAAATAAAATACCACGTTACAGCACATATGCATGGTTATTTGTCCAGTATTATCTCTATTACTCAAGAAGGGTTGATCCAACCATACTGAAATTCGGACCCTCAATTGGTTCTTTCATTACATTTTCAGGCTAAATTAACAGGGTAAACAGGGTAAAGGCTAAAAACAGATATAGCCATGTCTCAAAACCAGTCTTAGTGTCTATTCAACTAGATCGAGAGGTTGCAATTCCAGTTGTTTTGTACTCGTCTCGGTCTTATCTATTTTTCGTCAAGGACTTCTTTCGATGTAGAAGGACCATTCATTCCCGAAAGACACTGAATGATATCTTTTTCGTTTCAGAAATGAGAATGCACGCCTGCCTCAAGCATGCACTAGGCAAATGTCGTGTAGCGCTTCGAAAAATGGTGGGGAAACGAGACAAGTGGGTAAGAGAGTGGCCGAGCCAGCCAGGAATAACGTCCACTCAGATACAGTGGACGAGTGACTGTACTGTAGCACTTTTACGATCCAAGTGAGTATAGTAGCATAAAATCCGACGATAGAATACTGATATGAAAGATAAAGTGATTGTGATGACGTAACGAAGCCAGTCATAATTACTATAATAGGCAGAATTGTGCATATGCTATGCATTCTACGTAATTCTCATTTGTGGCATGTTTTTCGTCGCCTGCATGCACTTCCATACTTATGAATATTTTGAGCTAAATGCTTGTCCCATCCCTGAATGGAACATGAAATAACACTTTTTCCGTTATGACGGGGAAGGATTACATACGTATTAGATTAATAAGGAAAATTTTCCATATAATAAGTTCTGAAATTCGATTTATAATTAAGGGACATATAATAATATTTGAATCATTTTAATATACAGGAACACAATCGGATTCAACTTTCATAGGCTACATCATTCACAATTAATAAACATATGTCGTGGAATTCTCAAAGGTTCTTTTATGAATAATTAATTTGTACTTGATTTAACAGATCCGTATGAAATGAGAAAACACAAAGCATGAAACCCTCATGGCATTCGATTCTGATGTTATCATTTTAAATCATGACTGATAGTTACGACAAATACGGGAAATTCAGGAATATATGAACAATTCTCAGCCCTATAGAAATAAGGGACAAGTTTTGCTACGTGAATTTTTCTTCAATGAAAGAAATAAAAACAAAAAAGATACGCAATCAAAAGTCTTTCAACGCGTTGGAAAATGGAAATGAACGAATTAGAGACGATTTTGAAAGTTTAAACATTGGGCTGCGGTCACAAGGTATTGAAAACCTCAGTGACTGGGCCAGAGAAGTAGAAACTAAAAAAAATATAAATAAATTGAGCGTTATCTTTAAGGGGGCGTGACTAAATGACTGAATGACTTATAACTCATACCAAGAGAAAAAACACCGTATAGACCCTTTCGAGTTAGATTTTCATTCTTAATTGTACACATAACATATATGGTAGGCAATCCGAGGTAAAAACCGAGTTGAAGAAGTAGGAGGAGTAGTATTTTTAATGTAATGTGTCGAGAGTTCAAGTACGATTACTGCTGATTAAACAAATGGAACGAGAAGGAGATGTGATCTCTCTACAGGTTCAAGTTGATGCATTACCCAGAATTGGAGGTTCTCGGATTTTCGTCGGTTAATCGGCCTTCTAAGAGTAACTCGCGATCCTGGAGAGACTAGTGATTGTCAGCGGAACAAACTCGTCCAAGCTGGATTTACGCTGGGTTTGTGATTCCTTGTCGTTGTTGAATCTGCCTTCCCGGAGTATCTTGCGGCCGCGCAGACACCGACGATGGTTGCCGAGAAGCGCTGGTCCACGCTGGATTTGTACTGATCTGGAATACAAATTGGCTCACTCACAGACTGAATTTCTAGTCTGAACTTAAAGACTGGTTCACGGATTTGGTAGACAAGACTGGACTCAATTTCGGAAAAGCTGATCTGATGACCGGGTACAAAACGACTGAACTAACTGAATTGGTAAACAAGACTAAATGGGTAGTCTGATCTGGAATAACATAACATGGATAATTCCATCGCCCCCTTTTTTTCATAAGCTTAGAAAACAAAGGGAAATTTCCACTGCTCGAACAAATGGGATTTTGATGGTAAATGATTTCATCTAAAGCATGTGAAGTATAGGAACCGAATACAAATTGGGGGATGCGTACCAACTTTTGCGTTTTTTAAAACGAAAGCGCGTTCGATTCTCCCCTCTATCATGGCCGATGCACAGGGTGGCCAGCAGCAGCTCCAACAGCTAGTGGATTTGGTTTATTAGTCCTTCGTTTTTCTACTTTTTCATTAGCTTCCTCTCATATTGCGTTGAAACTCCAAAGAAACTCATATATTTGTTGTTTCTCTATGTGGCACGTGGGACGGTGGGAGGCCCTTCCAATTTATTTGGGGCATTGCTCTTTTTCCCCTGCTAGCGTAGCCTATTACAGGTACTTGGGGTTCCTATTTTCGTCACGTCGTGGGTAGCTCTTCTCATTTTAGATTGCCTTCTCTCCTTTCCCTGTAGTGGAGGCAGGCTATCTCTGTTTCTCTATCGCTCACTGTCGTGGGCCTTTTGTAGCATCCACTTGTTGTCGGCGTCAATTTGGGTATTAATGACCAAAGGCGATCCTGTTTCAGTTTCCATGAAGTTCCGATTCTTCTCAGTGTGACTTTTACGATTTTTTTTTATTATTGTTAACCGCTATTTCCCCCATGTAGACTTTCTAGGTTTGTACTTTTTTACGTAGTTGAAAACCTTCTGTCTCTCTTCTTCAGATGTCTACTTTATACTACTAATTTTACTCAAAAATTCAAAGAAATACGGTATCTATTGAGGTCCTATTTAATTGGCAAAATATTATATCCATATACGACCAAAAACATTCTTCAAAAATTACGTCTGGACTCCAAAATTATGAAGTGCAATATTATCCCGCGAAAAATCATTGCAGTCACCTTAGATTTTGTGGGAGTTGTGCATCATTAATTCAACTCAAGATGTGAGAAGTCTACCGTAGTTTTTGATGAATTTTACTCTCTTTATACTTCGCACATTTCGGGGACTGCTTTCCTAAAATTGCAGCTATTTTGCTGTTTCGTGAAATGTGTATTAGACCCCTGATAACTTGGTTTACCTAATTCTCATCTGAAACTGACAACATCTGTTTTTTATTTCCTTCAATTAAATAGATTCATGGATTCGAAGAAACCACTAAAAAAATTGAAATTCAAGCAAAATCAAATACTGGTCCTATACTCCGATAATCTTCGTAATAATTTGGATCACCTGCAGCGTATGAAATATAAAGCAATTGTAGTCATCGAAATTCATGCACGTGATGTGATTGAAATGATGTATAAAAACAGTTAGTAGATCGTCATATTGATATTGGAATTCATTGTCCATTTCCGAATATTATATTATATACTCTGCAGATGGCCACAATGTGTGATTCTTTGTTTCAGATTGTAGAGATATATCTTCATTCGAATGGTTGTCTCAGTTACGCTTCTACTGGGATAAAGATATTGATGACTGTGTGGTGAGACAAACTAATACCCACTCCAGATACGGCTACGAATATCTTGGCAATACTGAACGCTTAGCAATCACCCCGTTGACCGATCGGTATTCGTATTGTTATACAAATAGGCAAACCAATTCGACTAACATCTCATATTCACGGCGTATCGATTCAATCTGGATAAAAGGCGAAAAATGCTTGAACTCTACAGGAATTTATTGGTTTACTAGTGCAGACCATAAATTTAAACCAATGCATGCGACGGGACAATTTGTTTCACGAAAACTCGATTGAGAGCTTTGCATAGTCTTTAGTATCGAGCTTTATCCAACATTCACTTAGTGAATTGCCAATTTTTTCTAGATTCTTTTTTCGAGACTGACTCGATTACAACACAAATTACTGGAGGAAGATTAACAAGACTGATGTAGAAAGAGATTTACATTACCAACTTAGCAACCATATTTAGATATGGATGGACAATAACATCGTTGCAGACATAAATTCTATACTGTTGGAAATTGAAAATGAAGCGAAATTTTAACATTAGAATCAAGTCTTCGATTATAATATTTGATTTCCACTGATAATTTTACCATTAATGGAAATTATTTTTATTAATATAGAATTTCTGAATCTACTACCAGCATTCAATATTCAGCGTCTTATCATTTTCTAGTTCTTTAATAATTTACCATCGATATTCAATTCGTTTTCATGTCGTTAGATCTTTGACGTTATGCGTCGTACTCGGTTTTCAAAAGTTCGATACTAAATTTGCTATTTTACTTGATATCTCTGTAGATGTTACATCACATTAACTACTGCTCTGCATCTTTACCGCGGAGGGAGCCCCAAGGGACCAGCAGGAACAGGGAAAACAGAAACTGTAAAAGATCTCGGTAAAGCATTGGGCTTCAATGTCATTGTTCAAAACTGCTCGGAAAGTCTCGATTACAAAAGTATAGGAAAGCTATTCTCTGGTTTGGCACAAACTGGGGCTTGGGGCTGCTTCGACGAGTTTAACCGGTTAGTACTTCGCGATATAATGTTCATAATATGAACTCTGTCTGAAGTGCAATTTTCTATTTTGTCTATATTTATTTTCAGGATCGATGTTGAGGTGTTATCAGTAGTCGCGCAACAGATCCTCTCTATTTTGTCCAGCCTCTCACAAAATTTATCTCAGTTCATATTTGAAGGTTCCACTATCGTGCTTAAGCCCACTTGTGGTATATTCATCACAATGAATCCAGGATACGCAGGTAGAACAGAACTCCCAGATAATTTAAAATCGATGTTTAGACCAATATGTATGATGAAGCCGGATAGCGCTATGATTGCTGAAATAAATTTGTTTGGTGAAGGATTTCGAAATACCAGGATATTAGCGAAGAAGGTAATATTCAATTTTCTCATCATTTGAAACATGTGCGTGCCTGTAATATATTATATTTCCACCATAAAGATATTCGCGCTGTATAGCTTGGCACAGCAACAACTTAGTCAGCAGTACCACTATGATTTTGGTCTCCGTGGAATAGTAACCCTGACACGTTATGCAGGTCAAAAGAGACGGCTCCACTCTCATTTGCTGGATGAAGAGGTACTGCTATGATTAAATGCTACGATTAAAAAATTTTCATGCTTTTAACGTGACATTTTCTTACGCGGGTTTAAAATGACGGTTACCTTCGCCCTCCTTGTTCCAAATAAATGGGCACTAGGTATCTTTTAACCGATCGGGGTCAACACTCATTTTCACTCATTCAAGAAAAAATCTCTAAGCTGACTTTATTCCTCCAAAAAAATGGAAAACTACTTTTAGTAAGAACGTAAATTTTCAAACCAAGATGGTCGTCAAGCTTGAGCGATATTCGTGATACGTTCAAGCATTTCACTCCTAGTAGCAGAAAGAAATATCTGATGAAAGAAGAAGAGTGGGGGGTAAAGAGAAGGAGAGAGGTATTTTTCCACTCATTCCACTCCTATTTTCGGGAAGATTTTTCATTTCACTACCTCTGCAAAAGAAGTTTCACTTTGAAAAAATAGGCCATGGTAGGATAAATTGCATCTTCGGTGAAAGGTAACGGTTTAGAGTTACTCAGTATGCTAGGTTATGAAAAGAGGGCTGGGTGAACAGGGGGGATTTGGGCTTGCGGGAATTTACCCCAATAAAAATGAACGGAATTAAACTTTCAATACCGTTCGGACTAGTATTTATTGTGACTATTCAAACTAAGATCCAAACAATTAATTAATTAGCAGGGTGGACTCATTCACTGACTAACGTCTGGTATCTGTAATGTTTCCCCTAACTAAACATTAAACAAAATCATGCGTGACAACCTATGACTAATACTGCGGGAATGTACCTACGAAGATTATCGAGCGGCCTTTTTACGAGGAATGTCCTGTACCCCTCATGCACAGCACCGAAGTGTGCCATGAGGGATGCGCCGTGGCTAAAATTAGAATATGTTAGGTATCACTCGTAGACCCTACCACTCCGAAAATCGTTCTTTCAACATTGTTTTTGAAATGGTATGATGTAATAAATTAGTAAGTCGCCGAGTTTGGAGAATTTATAACGCTCCCTCGGCCGTTTTTAAAAATAAAAAATCAGTAGAGGCAGGACCAACTTACTTGGCGCGGTTTTATTTACAGGATAATGCTATAATTTGATTAATAATTAAAAGTGACCGAAGATAATCTTTGGCTTTAACTCTAGTTCTTGGGAAAAACTGCGCCAAGTAAGTTTGTCCTGCCTCTGATTTTTTTATTTTCATTACTGAATCCTTTCAATGGAGTCGTATCACATTTCTTGGTTTTTTCATTTACATTTTCTGCGTTTTTTTTATTTCTAGGAGCGCCATATTTTATGGAAACACGATTTTTTTCCGGAATCAATTGAGCGAAACTTTTACTTGTCTCAGTTTCTTTTTTTTAAATACCAGCTTTCTCATTTGGGGAGTTATTATTATCATCACGTCACATATTGTTGTCTATTTTAAGTGATTATATAATTTACTTCTTTCGGTTCTTAACAAGTGATAGATTAGGGTACAAATGGCTTTTCTTTGCAGCAACGTTGAATAGGGTGGAAAATACCATTGCTAGAACGGCTCTGAAAAGGTTTACTCAAATTATTACATTACAAATTTTGTTTCAAGAAATGTTTTAAAACGGTTCTATACCAATGCGATCGTTACGTTTTGTGTGTGAACAGAAGAAGCTGTACAAGTACTGAAGAGATCAACCATTGAAGAAACAGTAAGGCACAGTAGTGCAGTACTGCCCACAAACATCAAACGATATATCCCGGAATCTTTTCTGGCTCCATTAGAGATAAGATGTTAATTGATTTTTGTGTCAAAGGGGGGTATTCCGAAATTATCAAACTAACTTCTTCATTCTTCTGAACCGAAGTAAATGGCAACCGGGTACTGACGATCATTGCTCAAAGTTGGGTACCAGGGAATATGGACAGCAAGTTAGACTGCTCCAATTGATGCGTCGGAAAGTGATAGCGCAACTAACGCTATTGTTGACTGACAGTTTGATCAAATGCACGCGAGCAGAACCCGTCATAGTATGCTCAACGACCGAAGCTGTTACCGTGACCACTAAAATGCGTTGCGGTTTCAGCGAATAAGTTGTTGAAAACCTTCATATCTGGGAAAGACTGCCTGGTATAACGTGGCTGCAAAGGGTTAGTGAGACTTGGTTGTCATCCGCATTCAAATATAGAAAGTTGATTCTAATGTTCGGGACATTCCGAGGATTCTACTATCTCATTTCATCAAAGCTGATATAGTCAACAAAACCAATGACAATTTTCTTAGGCCACTATAATGACGTCATCGATCGCCTTCCCTAAAATTCCACAATGTAAGACACTTCGACTTAAACACGCGTCAAGGTTACTTTGCAGTTGTTTTCGCCAGCGTTGTTACGTGGGCTATCACCATCCCATAGCCCTCATCAATTTGTACTTTCTAATTATATGTAGTGTCATCCATGAGATATTCAATCTTTGCTCCCATCAAATGAACACGCAGCACAACTCCATTCATCAAAAATTAATATTGATTGAAAACGTCGCAATGTAAATTGTAACGTGACATTTTCTCGGGGAATGGAAAATGCCCATTACCTTCGCCCTACTTCCCCTAAGCCTAATAAACCTGCTAAAATTGAATCAAATGGGCGCCAGGTAATTTTTAACCGGAATTACCAAACCGGAAAATTCTGTAATCCTAAACTTAACTAATCTCGATATTCGTTTGACCGAAAATCCTACCTCGAAATCCTAAAATCTTAACTCAAACTTATTCTCTAAAATCCAAAAAAGGGAATCCAAAAGGGAACGGAAAGGATAGCTAGGCTTTCGGGAAAGGTGACGGTCCTCGGGTCGCTCAGTATGCCTGTTGTGGAGAGAGGGGTGGATTGTAGGTGGGAACAAGGTCATCGGAAAAATCGGGAAAAATATGAAAGGCATTCAAAAAAAAGAAAATAACTCCAAAATTGTCCTTACGTGTTTCGCCATTGAGAGTCAAAAGTCAATACAAGGAAAAAAATAATTAATTACAGAAGATTTACGGAACTGCCTTTACCTGCGCATTTTTACTATCATTTTAATTATTTTGAAATATCATTAATATTTTAATTGCTCGAGATATAAATTCTCCCCAAACAAAACCCCAAATCAAATCGCTAGTTGCCCATAAGACCTAAAATAGTGCCCTTGGAATGTGGCCTCAAGGATAATCGGTCACCGATAATCCGAGGAATATTTTCTCAAACTCCCCTAAACAAAAGAAAAGAAAAAAAAGTATGAACTCGTTGGGCTCGAAGCCACAACGCATCAAATTCCAAGAGAGTGAGAGAGAGAGAGAGCGAGCGCGTTACGCTTCACCGCTCGGTTAACGGTGAGTGATAACTCACCACCGAAAATTTACATCCCTTAAAAATTAAAAATCTCGAAATCCACCTGGTGGATTTTGGAAAACCCTGAGCCATACGGCTCAGAACATTATCCCGAACATCCTCACAAAATCCTACACATAAAAATCGGTAATCAACCACGCTAGGCGAAATAATATCCACGTGGAATTTTAATGCGCTAATCATACTTGTTGCGTATGCCACTCGCTGGTTATCTCGATGACGCCATGAGGGAAAACCACTGGCCCTTTGTTGGCCGTGGAACCTTTTCACACACAAACTCTATCCCCCAAAATAACCCCTAAAATCCCAAAAATCCTCACTAACAACCCACCAACCGCACTGGGGGAAAACACACGCCGAATCTGTTCGGAAAATCCTCCCACAATTCCTCAAAAACACCACCCAGTTTCGGGGGAACAGCCGACGCCATTTCCATGGCTCGGAACAATTCATCACCGCCAATTAATTATTGGGGAGCCGCCAAAAAGGGGAATTTAACACAAAATAACCCGTAAAAACTCACCTTGGATCCCCTGGACGCCTTTCTTTTCCTCTTTTGGACCATCCTGGGTATTATCAGATGTTCTGGGTGGTGCATTCGTCAAGTCCCACTTCATACTTTTCACTCACGTGCGTGGTGTTTCACGGTCAACGCGTAACTGATTTTCGGAGGTCAGTGTCGCGTTACGCTGACCCCCTAATCACGCCTGCCAATCGATCCGGTGTCGATTGGTGGATCCCTCTACCCTATTAAGGGTCAAGCCCTTCGCGGGAGAATTAATTCAAATTTGAATTAATTCTCATTACCAGAAATTTTTCTTTCCGCGGTATTTTTCTCTCGGTTGATTCTCCTGGATTCCCGGGGTTAGAAGACCTAAATCACTAACCTTAAACGTATTAAATTATTTCACTAACCCGTAATTTTATTCGATTAATTGGCATTCCGCCGAGGTAAGAGCTGGATTTACCCCGAGCGGCCTTCCACCCGTAACTAATCCTAAAGTTTTTGGCATTCCGTCGGGATGAAGGTTGGTTCTACCCCGGACGGCTTTCCACCCGTAACAGCCCTTGGCAATCCGTAGGGGTGTTTTTCGTGTCCCCATGCGGCCTTCCACCCGTACCATCTAACCCTCAAGAACCCTTTCATTTGGAGCGCCGGCTTTTTGGGCCGGACCTAAAATAACCAAACCTTAACCCTAAAATCCATACACCACCCCAAAGGGGGAAAATAATCATAATTTTGACATACCCATAAAGTCCTATTCTCGCACTCTCTCTCTCGTTATTAATTTTCTCTGGGATACTAACGGGCATCCCCGATGCTCGTTACAAAATATCCACGCAGATCGAAGGCCCGTCCGCCTTTTATAAATACACGTCGAGAATTCAGTATCGTATTTTAACGTACATAATCATCAACAACTACAGGTGTATCCATAGCAGAATAGGTAACGGTCCCATATTAGGTGATCTCAAGGTGTGAGGCTTTAGAATTCTGACAATAATTCAGCATCGTTCCTATGTAATCTCTCGAGGCAGAGATTACATATGAAGGTTAGGTGATGGTGTAAGAAACTTTTGATGAAAGTTGTGACCTTGGCCGGTGAATTCAATATAATAATTTCCGGGGAAGGCACGATGATTTCCGTGAGAGGGAAACTGCGGGCT